GTTCCAAGCTAGTGGTAGTATCAAAGGAATGTGAAACACCAACAAAAATTAGCTCAAAACATACACTTTGATAAAAGTAACCCATGACCAAATTAGAACTTTCAGCCCCGGGCATCGCTTAGAAAATTGAAATTTTCCAGAGTGATCTCCTGGCATATGAAAGTGTCCATACTATTCTAGTACATATCCAAAATTTAAGTCAAATGGATGTCATTTGGGTTGGCAAAGTACGGTGCAAAGTGGGTAAAGTGAGGTGCCGTGACGTGACCTAGTCATGTTGTGCCTACAAGTGTTGCCTGCGTATGGTCAAGTTTGGTTCTTGTAATTTCCAATTCATGTGTTACGGGAATTTATCACATTACCCCACTCTCATTCATATATTACTCATGTTAATGCATAGTATGTATACTGTGTAATTCAAGGAATTTATTGAGTGGGTAAACAAGCTCTAGCTAAACAGTACATATTGCAACCATATTCACGAACCCCTCAACTGTTATATCCCATCACTTTAACAAGCAAAGAGAGCATCAACGTTATTCACATCCCAATTTGTATATCCAATGCGCAAATTCACCAAAATGCATAACTCATTTTACATTGACAATTGATCAAACATGTAGCATGCCATTGTATGGGATCTCTAGAATTTCAACAATTGGAGTCTAAGTCATGCCCAAAATGACACACATTTAACAGTCTAGCATCTACTACTATGAGATAAGTGCCTTTCAAGTTAATGTACATAGGAATGCATCACAATATGTATTTTAATTCATCCACCAATCACATGTAATGCAAGAAGCACCATAAAACATAGAATATTCACTGTGGCATTTCATCAAACATATAGCATGCATAATGTGAAGGTATTACCAATATAGTGAATTGAAGTTTCAAATCATCCCATAGTCCTCACAACACAATCACATCAAATCTACCCATACATGAACAAGCCCAATCTCCCTCAATTCCTCAAAATTGAAATTTCAAACGTGACTTACCCTAATGATGGAACCGAGAGGGAATTAAGAAACATTACCTTGTACTTATAGGAGTTGATTTGAGTTCAAAAATGATTTACTTTAAATGATATTGCACTTTAAAAATGATATTCGTGTGTAGTGTATGGATTCGAACTCGGCCGTGTGTAGAAATTGTGCCCTAGAATGCTTGTGGTCGTGAGAGAATTAAGGAAAATATTGAGTAGGAATGAAGGAACCGGGCGTGGGTTAATAACCCACGCCTGATTCTGCCATCGATCGCATGGCTTTAAGCCGTACGATCGCATGGTTCTAGTGGCTTTGGCCACTTAAATCCCGACCTCTGTTTGTGTGGTCACACTGTGCGACCGCATGAACCCTTTTTTTTTTTTTTACCATGCTAAAAAGAAAATGAATTTAAAAATAAAAACTTTGAAAATATATTCAATTCCCCCAAAATCACAAGTTTGATTAAATTGCACCCCAAAATTTGGTTTTCAATTTAGTGGTCGGCCTGACTTCTCAATGACCCCAACTTTTTCAAAGATACATTTCTAAACATTTTGGGGTATGCATAGACCATAAACTTAGTGCCCGAGACCAAATTTTTGAAATTCACAATTACGCATTGACACTTGAAATTTTGAAAATAGACTTTTGCCTTGAAATGCATGAATTACACCCCCAATTACCAAAAACAACTCCAATCAACCCAAACTCGTGTGTGATGCTTAGGACTCGTGTGGACAATGCTTGGACTCTTTTAACATGTATGGATGACCAATGACCTAATTTTAAAAAAATTTAAAAAATGAAATTGAAAATTTTCTAATCTGATGCAGAAAGCAAAATAAATTAAATTAAAAAGATACAGTGGGTTGTCTCCCACCAAGTGCTAGGTTATAGCTAATAGCTCAACTTTTCTACACCTACTTCATTCTGGCTTCTCGAGTTGAATGGTGGATTTTTTGTTGGAGAAGTCACCTTCCCAGTAGTGTTTCAGCCTTTGCCCATTAACAGTGAAGGTACCCTTAGTTTCATGGCTGACTTGTATAGCTCCATATGGTAAGACCTTCGTGATAGTGTAAGGACCTGACTACCTTGATCGCAAGTTATACAATAGCACTTTCTGCCCCACTTCGAACTCTCACCTCTAAATATGCATGTCATGCCAATTTCTTGGTTCATTCCTTGTAAAGTTTTGAATTTTCATAAGCTTCCATTCTAAATTCATCTAACTCATTGAGTTGCAGTAGGCGCTTTTCACCGACGGCACTCAAGTCCATATTCAACTGTTTCATAGCCCAATATACTTGGTGCTCCATTTCTAGTGGCAGATGGCATGCTTTTCCTAAAACTAGGCGGTATGGAGACATGCCTATCGGTGTCTTAAATGCTGTCATGTAAGCCCACATTGCATCGTCCATTTTTTTGGACTAGTCCTTTCTAGATGAGTTCATTGTGACCTCGAGTATTCTCTTCAGCTGTTGATTAGATACTTCAACTTCCCCGCTAGTTTGTGGATGATATGGGGTAGTAACACGGTGTTTATTTATTCAACAGTTGCTCAAACTGGGGATTGCAGAAGGGTTTGCCCCCGTCACTAATTATAGATCGCGGTGTACCATATTGAGTGAAAATATATTTCTTCAAAAATCCAATTACTGCCTTTGAATAGTTTGTTGGTAGTGCAACTGCTTCTACCCATTTTGATACGTAATCCACTACTACCAAGATATACTGATTTGAGAACGATGGGGAGAAAGGTCCCATGAAGTCAATTTCCCAAACATCGAATATCTCTACTTCCAAAATGTTGTTCAGTTGCATTTCAGTCCTCCTCGAGATATTTTCAGTGTGTTGACATCTGTCACACCTCTTGACAAACTCAAAGGCGTCTCTAAGCAGTGTAGGCCAGTAGAACCCTGATTGTAGAATCTTTACAGCTATTTTCGAAGCCCCAAAGTGTCCTGCATATGTGAATGAATGGTAGTGCTCGAGAATCTCATGTACTTCTTCCTCAGGTATACATCTCCTTACTATCTGATCAGCCCCTCGCCTATAGAGAATTGGGTCCTCCAAAAATAATACTTCAATTCAACGAACAACTTTTTTCTCTGGTGACTCGAGTTGTGGTGGGATGGAACTGGACAAGTAATTGATGATATTTGCATACCAAGGTGCTTCATCTACTCTTAACACCTGCTCATCTGGGAAGATCTCATTAATATCCACTAATTCTTCTGTCTCCCCAGGCTCTAATTGGGATAGGTGATCTGCTAATACATTCTCACTACCCTTCTTATCTCGTATCTAGATATCAAATTCTTGCAACAACAGCACCCAACGAATCAACCTCAGCTTTGCATCCTTCTTTGTGAGTAGATACTTCAATGCAGCATGATCTGTGTAGACGATGACTTTAGACCCGACAAGGTATGATCTGAATTTGTCGAATGCATGTACCATGGCCAAAAGCTCCTTTTTAGTGGTGGCATAATTGATTTGCGCATCATTTAGAGTTCTACTTGCATAGTAGATCACATGAAAAATCTTGTTCTTCCGCTATCCTAATACTGTACCCATGGCATGATCACTGGCATCACACATTAATTCAGAAGGCAGTTCCCAGTCTGGTGCTGCAATTACTGGTGCTGTTGTGAGCTTCTCCTTTAAAGTGTTGAATGCTGCGTGACATTCTTCATTAAACTCAAAGGTTACGTCCTTCATTAGCATATTGCATAGCGCCTTAGTGATCTTTGAGAAATCTTTTATAAATCTCCTGTAGAACCCTGCATGTCCCAAGAAGCTGCTAACCCCTTTAACTGATGTAGGTGGTGGTAACTTCTCAATAACTTGAATTTTTGCCTTGTCCACTTCAATTCCTTTTTCTGAAATCCAATGCCTGAGTACAATGCCTTCCTGCACCATAAAGTGGCATTTCTCCCAATTTAAAACCAGGTTAGTCTCCTTGCATCTCTGTAAGACCAAATTTCGGTGTTATAAACATTCATCAAACAAAGATCCAAACATTGAGAAGCCGTCCATGAAAACCTCGATAAACCTTTCAATCATATCAGAGAATATTGCTGTCATACACCTCTGAAATGTGGTTGGAGCGTTGTAAAGACCAAAAGACATCCTGCGATATGCAAAAGTACCGTAGGAGCAAGTGAAAGTGGTCTTCTCCTGATCATCTGGTGTGACAGGTATCTGATTGTAGCCCGAGTATCCATCAGGGAAGCAGTAGTATGAATGTCCAGCCAACCTCTCCAACATCTGATCAATGAATGGAAGTGGGAAGTGATCCTTTCGTGTAGCTGTGTTTAGTTTGCGATAATCGATGCAAACTCTCCATCCCGTCATTGTTCTGGTGGGAATTAATTCATTCTTCTCATTTTTCACCACTGTGATTCCCTCTTTTTTCGGTACCACTTGAACTGGACTGATCCATACATTGTTTGAAAATGGGTAGATAATTCCTGCATCCAGTAATTTCAATATCTCTGCCCTGACTACTTCCTTCATGTTCAGATTCAATCTTCTCTAACCCTCTATACTTGGCTTGCAATTTTCTTCCATTAGAGTTTTATGCATACACAGAGAAGGGTTGATCCCTTTAATGTCAGCTATTGTCCACCCAATTGCCGTCTTGTTCTCTTTGAGTACCCTGAGCAATTTTTCTTCCTCCACCTCACTAACTGTGTTTGAAATTATTACTGGAAGTGTATCTGACTTCCTCAAATATGCATATTTGAGATGTGGCAGTAGTTACTTGAGTTCTAAAACTGGCGGCTATTGGATGGAGGGCAGTGGCTTTGCATTTCCCGTCCTTAGTTCCTCGAAGTGTCTCTTTCGGGTGTATGGTGGGTTGGTCTCCATAAACCTTGCATATGTTTCAACTTCAAGAGAATCTGACTGGACTGATTGGAATTGTACAATGCATGCCTCATAGGCATTAGATGGGCCATGAAGTAAGAATGTTTTTTGTACTGCCTTGTCAATGATGTCAACCTGCTAACAGCTATCTGATTCTATTGGCAGTTTCATGGCCTTGAAAACATTGAACAATATCTGCTCCTCTCCCAATCTTAAGATCAACTGCCCCCTATGGACATCAATTATCGCTCTCCCTGTTGCCAGAAATGGTCTGCCAAGTATTAATGGGACGTCCTTGTCTTCTTCCATATCCAAGATAAGAAAATTCGTTAGGAATATGAACTTCTCAACTTTGATAAGCACATCTTCAATTATTCCTCTAGGATGTGTCAGTGACCTGTCGGCCAGCTGAAGTGTCACAGTAGTCGCTTTAACTTCTCCCAAGTCAGGTTTCCTAAAAACAGACAGAGATATTAAATTAATTCTTGCACCGAGGTCACATAATGCTCTATCGAAAAAAACTTCACCAATAGTGTAAGAGACAGTAAAACTCCCTAGATCCTTCAGTTTTGGTGGGAGCTTTCTCTGGATTCTGGCACTACATTTCTCTTTCAGCATCACTATCTCATTGTCTTCCAGCTTGCATTTGTTTGATATAATATCTTTGAGAAACTTCGAGCAGCTGGGCATTTGGAATAGTGTATCGGCTAGTGGGATGTTGATATGAAGCTTTTTGAAGACTTCTATGAATTTTTTGTAATGTTGCTCCAATTTTTGCTTCTTCAACCGCTGTGGAAAGGAAATCGGAGGCTCGTATGGGTTGACTATGAGTTTGGCCTTATCCTATGACTTTTTTAAATTTTCCTTTAGAGTTGATTCCTTTGGTTGTTCATCCTATACAACAATCTCTTCTTTAGCAGGAGAAGATGTCTCTACAATCACACCCGGTCTCTTAACATGGATTTCAGACAGTTGTACTCCACTTCGAGTTGTAATGGTCTTGGCTTGCTCTTTGGGATTGATTTCTGCGTTACTAGGCAAGTTACCCAGCGTTCTACCAGTAAATGAGATGGCTAACTGCCCCACCTAAGTTTCCAAATTTTTGATGGCTGCATTTTGATTTTGAAATGTAGCTTCGGCTTTCTCTATGAATTTTCCTATCATATCTTCCAACTGAGACCTCTTCTCTTGTTGTTGAAATTACCCCTGTCGCCTATTTTAATTCTGGTTGCTCCAAGAGAAGTTGGGATGCTTCTTCCAACTGGGAATGAAAGTTTCTCCATATTGATTGTGTTGTTGGTGTTGTCCCCACTGTGCATAGTTTGCTTGCTCAGTTCCTCACATGAGTATTGGGCATTTCGATGTTTTATACTCAGCTCCACATTTCTCGCGATTGCTCTTTTTTGCTTGTGCTGCTTGTGATATGATTTCCTCCTTGTGAGACAGAGAGTCAATTTTTGCAGATATTACTGAATAAGTATCTACCTCGAAGACTCCCAGAGTTTTTCTTGGAACCACCCTCTCAGAAGATCACATGGCTGATGTGGCCATTCTTTCAAATAATTCCAATGCCCTATCAACTGTTCGTGTGGATATTGAGCCATCTGATGCTGAATCCACCATGCTCTTGTGGTATGGAAGTAACTCTGTGTAGAAGAATCGGATTTGAGTCTTTTTGTCAAACCCATGTTGAGAGCACTTTCGAAGCATGTTCTTGAATCCGTTCCAAGCTTCGTCAAATGATTCGATTTCTCCTTGATTGAATACTGATATGTCATGTCTCAGCTTCGCTATCTTGGCTGGTGAGAAAAACTTTGTGCAGAATTTGTGTGCCAACTCGTTCCATGTAGTAATATTTGCAACTGGAAGAAATCCATTCAAGTGCTCTGTTTCGTAGTGTGTGTGGAAACAGCCTTAGCCTAATAGTGTCGTCCGAAATCCCTTGATATCTAAAATGTTGGCACATATCCAAAAATCAAGATATGTGTGTATGTGGATTCTCCTCGGCTTTGCCACAGAACTGATGTCCATTTTGAAATAGCTGTATCACATTTGTCTTCAACTGGAAATTTGGCTACCCAAACGGTGGATACACTATTCTGGATTGACTTTGAATTACTTGTGGAGTCAAGAAATCTCCCAAAATCTCGTTTCCTTCGTCCATTGGCTCTCCTTCATTAGCTTGAATAATGGGATTATTCAGTTCGTTAGCCATTTGTACTTGTGCTTCTCGGTGATCTCTTTGTAGTCGATGAAAGGTGCGCTCGATTTCGGAATCAGCTGGAATCAATTCTCCTCCAGTCGATCGTGGCATGCAAATTGAAAGACAAACCAGTACGAGCACTGAGATTCAAACAATTTAAATAACAAAAACACAAATAAAGGATAATCACCTAAAATAGAAATAAAAACAAAATTATACTAGCAAAATAAAAATTGAAGTTCGAATTAGTGCCTAGAAGAATAAAATTAAACTAAACTTAATCTCCGGCAACGATGTCAAAAACTTGTTCACAAAATATTTTCTTTCGATTTAAAACTATCGCAAGTGTATAGTTCGTTAACAAGTAGTAAAGTGGATTAAATGAGTCCGAATATCGTCCTACAGAGATTGATTAGTTCAAAATTAATCTATCGTAGCCTTAACCGAAACTAAATTACCAAAGTGAATGTAGACTTAATTAGACCCTGATTTTAGAAAGAAACTCTAATTATGCGAATTTTATGATTAAATTGAAATTAATATGCAAAGCAATATTTTAACACTCTAGAATGAAATCAAATTTTGAGAACACACGTTGTTGTAATCAATAGAATTTAAACACACTAGGATCACGATTTCCCATGCAATTATCACTTTAAACCCTAGTTTCACAATATGACAACACACTTCAATTGTTGACGAATCAATATTCCTAAGTCTATCCAATACTCTCTTTTGAGATGTATCGAACTTATTTTTACAAACCACCTGTCTATATTTCTATGACAAATGCATATGTAAAAATGCATGCAATTTTATGAACACTTAAAGATTTACGTAGGGCATATCGGTATATTTCTATCCCCTATTAGACTCTACGATGATTTATATTATGTTGAATATATACCAATTCTCTCGAATGCAAGAATAAATCACCCAAACTCACACAATTACGGGCCCTTAATTGCGGAAATAATAATTGCATTTAAATCATTCAAAACAATAGAAATATGTCTTAAAGTCAAATTGCAAAACTAGAAAATTAAAGATCTAATGACATGTTACATCGATCTCCTAGCACATGAGAATCTAGCCTAACATAGATAAAATAACAAAATACATCAGGTTTTGAATAAAAGACATTACCGGGTTATGAAATCTTGAAGAAATCTTGAAGCTCTTCGTTCCAATCTTTGTTCTTGCACTCAAAATCCTCTCCAAGAAGTGTTTTTCTGCCTCCAATTACGTTTTGCCCTTTCTGGACATATTTTGGTAGTTATATCGCGTGAAAATTCGATGACCAAAAGAGTTTCAATCGTACAAGTAAAATTTTCGCGTCGAAAACCTACCATGCGACCGCATGGCTTTAATCTGTGCGGCCGCATGGTTATGCCATGCTGTCTCCAAAATTCTCTGCACTTGCTCGTACAACCGTACGAGAGTTCTACCATGCGGCCGCATGGTAGACTCTAACTTTCATTTTCTCCAATTTGGTCCCTCTACTTGAATTTTTCACTTTTTAGCATCTTTTCTTCATTCTTTCCATTCCATCATCCCAAGATATCATCAATTGGCATTTGGCTCAATCAATTTCTTGATTTGTTCATCAGGTCAACTTTTGGATAATTGCACCTTGGTCCCTAAACTTTCACCTTGCGTCATTTTAGTCTTTTTCGCGTATTTTCTCTTGAATTTCACCATGTTCATCGTTGTTCCCTATAATCAAAACTGTAACGAAATTAAGTCACAATTCAATCATTTTGCTCGTGATTAAGTCATGTTTGTGACCTAAATAAGTGTGTAAGAACACACTTATCAGACTCTATCATCGGCACCTATAAATACATAACCTGAGCTCATTCTTGAGGTACTTTTTCATTATCTCCAGTTTATAATCTCATGCACTAAATTTCCTATCTAACTTAAGCATTGGAGGGGCGACGAATACACCCTCGTTGCCTTTGTTTCAGGTATTCGAAGATCGTTTGTGTTCATCCAATCTTGAAGTTCGATCATCCAGTTCGAGATCATTCAGGTACTATTTTTTGGTAGCATCATTACCTATTTTGCATTTTCAGGTCAATTTCTTTATCGTGTCAAAATTTCTGGGTAGTCAGTTGCTTTGCTGGCTGGTGAATTACTGAATTTCATATATAGTGTCGACCCTGGCATAAGGCAGACAAGGCAACCGCCTAGGGCCTCTGATTTTCTGGGCCCCCTGATTTTCTGGCCTTATCTAGTAGATGTCATTGTTGCAACAGCAAAAGTTTCTATATTGCAGGTTGAAGACGTTGAAGATAGGTCATTGTTGGGCCTAAATATTATTTTTGGACTTTTTTTTTTTTGAAACAGAGGCTCATATTGATTAACTGTATATTATTCATAGCCCATATAGGCTACCCCATATACCTCTTAAGAAGTTAAGAATTGAACAGAACTGATTGCAAGCACCAGGTTAGCAAAACTGATTGCAAATGAAACCTATTTGTTGTTGTTTTGTTTCGAATTAACATGGATATGCCATTGGGGAATTTGTCATCTGTGATAAGTTGAAAATTTAAACTTGATCATTGTCCCAAGACTCCCAACCTTGTTCACAAATGGTTTAATTTATGTTTAACGTGTTATTTATGTTTAATTTTCATAAACATCCTCCATACTTTGATATTTCCCTTCAGAGTTGTAGATTTGTTCGCTCTACAGGGGTGGCCTTTTGGGTAAATGATAAAATGTCCAGTGGTATACATTCCAACGATAAAAAATTGGATTACGAATCTACAAAGTTAAAATTTTAGCAATCTTACTGAGGTGGGTAAATTTTCATAGAGAAGTTTTTAAAATTCCATATATACTTTTACTAGCAATCCTATGTATACATTTTTAAGTTGTGGTCCTTTTGTAAAAAAAATTATTTTTAACACCCACCATATCCATTTTTAAAGTAGTATTACATTTGTAAAAAATGATGCTTAAGGGCCTCGTAATCATTGGTTGCCTATGGCCTCAAAATTCTCAGGGCCGGCCGTGTTCATATGTATTTACTATTGCTGCTGAACAAAGAAGAAGTACTGAATGTCTTCTCTTTCTTTTCCCACTTTTTAAATTTGTTTATTCATCTACCGCATTTGGATTAAGTGTGATTATGAATGTGTGGATTTGCAGTAAATTTAGGTTGTTAATTCAAGAAATGATTAGTAAGATAATATATATGGAATGTTATTTTTTTGATGAAGGACAAACTTCAATTTTCAGTAATCCCCGCTAATGCCACTGCGCTTGCAAGTGTAAAAGCGAATGAGACATGGTACTCTATGATGCCAACAAGAAACTTAGAACGACGTGAACTTTTGGCAGAATTGAAATTAGTGGAGTTTTGTAGTAGGAGCATCATTTATTTTCTTCACTGGAATTATCTCCGAGATCTACGATGTTTCTTATTCTAAGGCTCGAAGAAGCCCTGGACCATACGGAGGAGAAACTGATGTTG